GATGTCCGACGACGCGAGAAAGTGACAGTGGGGAAGACGACCGGGTACAAAAATTAGGGTCTGGGGGCTCGCATTGAACGACGACACCAACCAGTCGAGATGGAAGTCGGGAATAGGATGGCGAACGGGCGGGCGGAGGCGACAAGCGCACTCGTCGGAAGATGACGTTATGTTATGGGGTGTGAGTTTTGAGGTGAAATTTTGAGAATTAGACTAAGATTAGGGGCTTGATTGTAATTTTAAGAATTTTAATTGTATTTCAATTAAGTCTACATGCCAAATATGTAATTATTGAAAGTTGATAAATTTTTTATGTTTTTTTGTTATACACACATATTAAATAATAAATAAATTAATAAATAAAATAATATAAAATATAAAAATAATACAAAATAATTTATAATAATAAACAATTATATAATAAAAATAGTAACTAATAAAATAATTAAATCATTTAAGTTAATTATTTGTACAATTATGTTTATTGTAAAATAGTTTTCAAATACACCTAAATTATGTCTTATAAATCATTTAACTTTATAGAAAAACACTTTTGCACTTTATAAAATAATATGTTGCACTTTATAAATCATCGCGTTGCACTTTATAAAATAATAAGCTATAATTTATCAACACGCTCTACAATTAACGCCAATGATTCCCGCCAAAATAAAACACAACATGAATCTAAAAAACTTATAAACATAATATTTTATCGTGCATCACATTAAAAAAAATCATGACAATCCACAATTAAACGACGATAATTCCCGCCAAATATCACGACACATAAATCGTCACGTTGCACTTTATAAAACAATGCGTTGCACTTTATTAAACATCACGTTGCACTTTATCATGACAATCCACAATTAAATGTCGATAATTCCCGCCAAATATCACGACACATAAATCGAAAAAAAATATATGTACATAATATTGGTAGTTCAGTTCGGTAAAGACTTTATTTTTTTTAAAAAAAAAATAATTATTATCTCACTTAAATGTTCGATCGATTGCACATTAATGTTATACATATTGCACATTAGTGATTTCTAAATTGCACTATATCGACTGCATCCGACAGAACTAAGTTTTTTGGTTTGAGTTTCACATGTCAATTCATTTTTTTTTTTTACCTTTCAAATTTTAGTTCATTTCGGTTCAATGTCAAATTTATTTTGAAATAACATAAATAAAATTGGACCGATAAGAATATATAAAATATATTTTCCTTTAATGTTTTATACAAAAATATTATTTAAAAAAAATAAATATATATGTAATATAGATAATATTTAAAGTCACTTATTTCGGCTACTTCGATTAACCGATCAAATTAATTAATTCGGATCGGTTCTAAATTAGTTTGGAATAAAAGTTTGTTCGGTTCAAATTGCACCATAGTGACCGGAATCGTGCACAATAGTGTTCAACACATTGCATATTAATTTATGTCAAGATGCACATTATTTGCATTTTATTTGCTATTGTGGTGCATATATAAAACTTTTAATAAATTACAAATTTGTCACAAGTACTAAATCATAATATATTAAAGGTTACAAAATTGCATATAGATCCTCATAACTTGTCAAATTTTCAAATATAAGTCCCCAAACCCAAAAAAAAATCTCCAGCCCCAACCCGCCACCGGCGACGCCGATTCCGTCTGCGCAGTCTCGCCGTCCTTCGCTGTCTCTACAGCCACGATTGCACCGTCATGTCACCACTCAATCCGAAACCCCCGAGTCTTCCCTGCCACAAATTTTCAGCGATTTCATGGAATATTAAATTCCGGCGACGAGCTCATACAGTGGTGGCCCGGCTGCCAGAGAGGATGACGGTGAACGAGACGACGACGGAGATGGTCCTGTTGGACATCTTGACACGATGGTCGACGGCGACTGAGATGGCTGGAGCTTCGGTGGGTGCTCTGCTGTGAAACGCGGAACTCTGGAGAGGATAGAATACGGCGGCTGTTGGTGGACTGACGGCGGGCGAGGGGAGGGCGATGCCGACGCGGGGAGAGAACGTGGAGATGACGCTTGAATTTGGGGGCGGACATGGTTCTTCTGTGCAAGGGAAAATGGTGAGATGGCGAGAGAGGGGTACGGCGGCGGTAGAAGGCGGCGTCGTGCTGCAGCGGACGGCGGCTGTTGGTGGCAGGATGCATCTCCGGCGGGCACGCAAGAAGGTG